CCAAGTCAAGTGGTCAGTGAACTTTGTCGGTTTCATCTAAACTGATGGCTGGGCTTGAGTTCAAAGTACTTCACGGGGAAGCAAGTGGATTTAGACCAGGTTCAAAAACAAAAGATTCCACCTTCAAACGTTCTTCAGAAGAGTATTCGCAGAAGGGGGTGTAAATCGAAGTCCAAACATTAGCGTCCACGTCATAACATACTGTTCTACTTCTGAACGTCCGCTCTCGAAAACCTGAACCTCTAATTACAGGGATATTACACTGTGTGATGAAAATGGAACTACGATTTGAGGCAAAACTTATTTCGTCCAACAGCCCTGCGGTTGAGAAAAGTTCTATCTGCCAGGTGGAGAGGAGGATAGACTCTGAGGAGACCGGAACAACATGATATACTCTCGCTATAGGCTGTTCATTCCAGCGTTTGTCGACCAATACGCACACTATTCTGGAACCACATAGAAGCACAGCGGGTTTCGTAAGCGTGGTATGAGCCAAAGGCCCGACCGTGATTTCGCTCATAGCTCCTTTCTTCATGTTCAACCGCAAAACCGTGATATATCCAAGGTAGAACTTTGGAAGATACAAAACGCCATCATCGTAAGCCAATAATCTACCGACGTAGAATGATAATGGCTCGCGGGCGTCGTCAAAGCTGAATGACCTCGTTGTATGGTCTTTGGAAACGGATTTGTATACGGTGACGGAGAATTTCCCGAGATCCCACGTTGTATAGTGACAGATGACTATTTCATAGTGCTCAGCTCCCACAGGAAAGACCCTGGGGCGATGCCTTTCTGCTTCCAAGTTAGAGAACCAGACATGGTTTCTTTGGCCAGTCACGTGGTTGATGACCGTTGCTAGTGCTCTGTGTTCTTGAAACACCACCCGAACAAGCAAAGCTCCGCAACGACTTGAGGAGTCAGATCTACTGAATGCTCTTCCATAAGACAGATTTGTCTCCCCCAATATTCTGAAGTGTCCTTCGGCACAATCGTATCCAACTTTGTACAGATTTGCAACGCATCCTCTCCTTCCATCCTCTGTTCTCTTCTTGACCTTCACAGTATAAAGAGGGCAATACGTGGGCCATGTGTGACATGTCTGACTCACCAATGTTCGAAAGTTACTGTTCCATTCTGTGGATAAGAGTCGCACTTTGACAATTTCAGGATAAGGAACTCTTCGAAAAATTTTCATCATTAAGTCGTTTGGCAAGTCTTCATGTTCTCCCATCGTGCTCGGCATACCAAGAATGTGCAGTCCACCTTCCAACTGCAAGTTGTAAAATCCTAGATCAGCACCGCACAAAGAAAAAGTAAAAGATGTTTTGTTATTGCTGCACGATGGAAAGCTTCATCCGACACCGGCGACCTGCTAACATATTTTAATGTCCATCTCATACAAACAAGCCATTGAAATTTGCATGCACGAAAGAAAGAGGGTTGTGATAAACTTTTCTAACAATATTGAAGCATAATATAAAACTCCGTAGATTCCTCCATTTATGAGCCTTGTTTTCTGTCGGAGCATACAACTGACAGAGGGAAACTGAAAAATGTAGTCTGCCTGAACGAAACCCCAGATGTGTGATTTCGTAAAGGCTAATGCAACCCTATACCTTCTTCTTGCGCACGATTTCGTCACCAATCTTGACAGATCTTTGCGTCTGTAGATCCTTCACAGAGTCCAGTTAAAAGACGGAGGTGGAAAGGGATGAGCTGGCAGGATGCGACCCAAAGGCATTTCTCCTCTTCTCTCCGCGCACTCACTTAAGTATCAGGATCAGCAGCTCGATGTTCTCCCTTCCTTCTAGGGTGCCTCTGCCCCACCGCTGGGCGACAGGGTTTAGGGTTTATTTCATATATTTCGATAAACTAATTTCACATATTTAAAACAAAAAATTATTTAATTGTGTGGATTCAATATTAAATATTATATTAATGAGATGGCTTTCTATTCATAATTCTTTCAAATCTGCTTTTAAAAGTTTTAATAAAAAATCATTATATAATTTACTATTTGAAACATTATTCTAATCAATAATCAAATTAACATTACTAAACTTCAATTTTAAATTTTATTCTACTCTTGTAAACTTTATTTCTTATCTTATAATCAAACTCATGAAACTAAACCTTCATTTCACATTCTACTCTAGTCTTGTCAGATTTCGTGATAAATCTCGAGGGATTTTGGCATCGCAGATCTTAAACAGCAGCTCTTTTATGAGCAAATGTTCTCAATCTCTGTTCAGAAGGTGCTCACATACATTCAATTTGCTGCCAAGGTTTTGACACTTTTGTCTACAATATCAGTACTTTGTCAATCATTTACAATAATTATTGAATTTGAATTTAGCTCGAGGTTGGAGCTTTCACTTTATGCGCATTTTTTGAATCTCATTGGATAGTATCTACGCAATTTATGTTATTCTTTATATACATTGGATAGAAATTTCGTAGCATTTGATATCCGATAAAAGGTTCAACTAGTTTATAAATATGTCGGGCGGAAGTAGTGTTTCAGATAGCATATATGTTGAAAATAATGCAGCATGAACGTTCACTGTCCAATTCTATCGATTGTGCTATTTTTGCTAATATTGAGAACTTGAAATCATGTGGCCTTTGAATCTCAATTACTTCTTGAAGGGAATGGCCCTAAACGACTTGTCATTGTTGCATCCAGAAAATAATAAGGTAGAAACCTGAGAAAAAGGCATAGAAAGGTTTTGAGCTCCATATATATTATTGCACTGAGGAAAGTGTCTTGAGTTTTATTTGATCCTTCTCAAATCTTGGAAATTTTATTAACATCCGGACTGATCTGTAACTTTCTCAGAAAAAATGTCGTATCATTTTCTGCAACAAGTGAATCAATATGACAACAGCTATTGTCATTTTATATAGTTTCGATAAATGTTTTTCATTTTCCAAAATTTGAGCACTTCACTCAAGTACTTATGGTGCTGAAAATAATAGAAAAAATGAACATGAAATTATGAAATTATATGTGCTGAAATAAAGCATAAATTTTTTTGGTACAAAATTAACAAGCAAATAATAAGTAATATCTGCAAGAAGTTAAAGAATTTAAAGAATTAAGAGAATTTTTCTTTACGCAAACTCAAAATATATTTTTTTGCAAACTTTTGCATACAGTTTTTCTCTTTAACATCTAAGAGTATATGTCATTCTTACTTTATTATAACTAAAAAATAATCTTGCTCAATACACCCTATTTACTACTTAATGGGATCCAACAACGCATTGTTCAATTGGGAAAAAATATAATCTTCTTGGAAAAAAAAACTCGCTTATACTGCTCTTTGTATCTATTTCCTGCAGACTCAAAAAAAAATTCAGCTAAAACTTGGGACAGAAAAGGTTATGATATCTTCATTTATATTCCAATTCAATATATACATTTTTTCTTTGAGAAAATTCCACCTCTCTTTCAGGTTAAACTCTTCCACTTTTATCTTTTAAGTCTTATCCCTCAATATGTCAAATGAAAATAATGTAAAGCGAATTCCAAATTCAAATCCAAATCCAAATGATCAGATTTCATCCAAATACATATTAAATCTATATTTGAACTGAATTCTGAAGGATTTATAAACATCACATGAAGTTAATCTCATTGTCTTAGGTATTTTGATTGTAAAATATAAGACAGCCACTCCTCATTTCATTGCTCTAAGTCTGATAATTTCACCACTTGAGAGATTATATTCTCTTATTGCACATCTCTCAAATTCTAAAGTGATGATTTAAATGACTTCAAATCCATTGAATAATGAATTATTTTCTGTTGTATATAGTGATCCTCTTCTAGACGGGATGATGGCTTCCAGATCACTTCCGTAAGATTGGAATACATAAATTAATATTCCTCCGTAATTTAATTATTAACTGAAATCTGCGGTCCCAAAATTATTTTTTTAAATTTTCCTATATATTATCCAAAAAATCCTACGTAATTGTGACGGATCAGTATACATTAAACCTACGAATTGTTGAAGAACTGAGGAATGTACTTCTGTACCATCTGGTTGACACTCATCTTGCTGATCGTATCCTTCATGCGTTGAAGGGACAGAGGAAAGTCTTGAGAATCCACTTCCTGTTGCATCCACAACAGTTGAAGCGTCTGAAGCATCTTCTGAGCCTCGGTGGGACTAATACTCGGATGCTCCTGGCTGTCATAGTCCGCATTGTTGCCATCATCTGCTGCGTTGTTGAGCTGATCGTTGACAACATCATTGATATCCGGGACGTACGCAGCCTCATCTTCTGCGGTGTAGTTCAGCAGGAATACAAGGCGCCGGACATCACACTCCGTAAACTAATAACCTCCCTAAATTAATCGGGCAGGGGAGGTCCCAAGATTATTATTTTAGACGGGTTCTACTGTAATGAATTATTTTCTGTTGTATATAGTGATACTCTTCTAGACGGGATGATGGCTTCCAGCTCACTTCCGTAAGATTGGAATTCCAAGTATGAAGTTTGACATATGCTTGACGGGGTAAAGCTCTTTTGCTAAAGCACTTTCCTCTTCCATCCAGTCACCACTTCGAGTGGTGAAAAGATGGTAGAAAACAGTTGGTCCAGAGCATGAAGGGAATAAAGAATCGTGAATGACAATGTCTCTACTAAGTTGACTTTAGTTCAGGTAGGGATGCTCACGGCTCGGCCAACGGCTAGCCGGCTAATATATTTTTTAGCCGGCTAGCCGGTTATACAGCCGGCGAGCCGTCGACTAACCCGATTGCCGGAACGCTAGCCGGGGCCGAAAACGATCCGAAAACTCAGACCGAATCTGCATTTTCGGCTGATTATTTCGCCCAATACATCCGAAATTATCCAACAAACCTTTATTTCGTCCGAATTTTCAACCGAAATGCTTATTCCGCGAAAGCCGATTATCCTATTGCTAGCCGTCTAGCCCTTTGTATCGGCTAGCCGGCTACGTGACCATGCCTAGATACAGGCCGATTCGATACAGAATCGCCCGCATACGCGTGAGCGTTGACTCGGGGCCAGCCCATCTTGCCAGCTTGTGAATCGGGTTCGTGATGGTCCGCGTAAGCCCGTCCTCAACGCCGAACCGCATGGTCGGACTGAGAGTGCCAATGGGGGCCGTCTGAGAGGGCGTGGAAGGGCTTGTCGGATTCGACTGACTCTAGCAATGGGCCTCTGTCTCAGAGAGACATGGAAGGCATCGTTGGTCGGTTGTACACGAAGCTGGGTTGCCCTTCTTCCAGCCATTTCTCAACAGATCCCCGCGACAGAACTCGAACGACCATCTCGACGCAGACTTCGTCAACTTAGCCTTCGACAATGTACGTCGTTATTCTCTGCTCATAGTCCCGAATTGTTGCTTATTCTTCTGTGTGCCGCCCGCAGCATTTCCCGATTCCCGAATTGTTGCCCTCGTCCAAGCCATATCACAACAGAACCCTGCAACGGAACTCGGACGAGCATCTCGACGCAGACTTCGCCAACTTAGCCTTCGATTATGTATGTCGTTATTCTTTGCTCATAATCCCGAATTGTTGCTTATTCTTATGTGTGCCACTCGCAGCTGTTCACGATGCCCGAATTGTATATTCCTCCCAAGGAAATATCCTTTCGCCTTCGTGGCTATAGAAGCAACTACGTCCTCTTCTCCCGCAATAAGCCGGACCCTAAATGCGGTCACACCAGTGTAGGACCGAACGCCGATCAGTGGTGGCAGCTTGTTCCAGGAACAGGGCAGCATGCAGGGTATTATCTCATCAAGAGCAAATTTACAGGAAAAGTGCTTTTCTCGAGGAGAACACGCGATCCCCCGGTCGGCGACATCGATGGAGACGGCAAGTATAATGACAACTGGTTCAAGTTCGAGGTCGGCACCGGCAAGCTCGCAAGCCACTTCCGTATTCGAAATTACGCCTCTGACACCGTGCTTGTCTCCCGCACCCACAGAAACCCTACTTTCTACAACCACGCAGGAATCGGCGATGTCCACGAGGACCAGTACTTCACATTCCTCTTTGAGGATATGGCGATAAACAGAGTTGAATACCAAATTGACCAGGCGAAGGTTCTTGCCTCTGTTCCCGAGGTCATAGGTACAACGACCTTGAGGAACGATAGCGCTATCAATCAGACGGTCGAGTTCGATTTTGCCCGGACCGAAACCATTTCCTCCTCCTTCGATTACACAGTCGGGTTCACCATCACCGTGGGCACCAGTGGAAAGATTGGGATTCCCTTTGTTACCGAGGGTCAGATTAAAGTCGACATATCCAACTCCCACGAGTTAAAATGGGGCACGACAACCACTGAATCCAAGACTTACTCGATACGGTTCCCTGCAATCGCTCCCCCCCGCCATTCAATCATTGGGACAGGCACCGTAACCTGCTCCAACATTGAGGTTCCATTCACAATCTATTCGAAATCTGTTGCTACTGGGTTCGAAGTTGCGACCCATGGCATTTATCGCGGTGTTACCTACTGGAACATCCAGAGCAGTATTAAGCAAGGGCCTCTCTGAAGGACCGATGCTGGGATCTCTTGTCGAAGACCGATTTTTTCTGCTTCTGCTTTTACTATGTTTCTGTCAGGCCACCTCTCGTCAGTTGTGCAAAGCTCGCTGCAAAAGTTATGGATGTAGTGCTCAAGGGTACGTTGGTATTTTAATATTGCAATAATCATTTTTAATCGATTGACAAAGAACCAATATTGTAGCCAAAAGCGTTTACCCGGTGAAGTCAAACCGGTGGAATCAAATTCTATGCACGTGAACACCTTCTGAACAAAAATGGAGAGCCTTAGCTCAAGTACAGAGATGCTGTACTCATTACTCATTATCTAGTTAACATGCTGAGTGCTCATTATAGAGAAACTGTACTCGGCATCTTCATTTCAGTACAGACCTAGTCAGAATTCCAAGAAACTATTTGCATCAGCAAGTGGAGGTTCTGCCACCAAGTCAAGTGGTGAGTGAAATTTGCTGGTTTCATTTACACTGATGGCTGGTCTTGAGTTCATGGTATTTCACGGGGAAGCAAGTGGATTTAGACCAGGTTCGAATTTGAAGGTTCCACCTGTATGCGTTCTTGAGAAGAGAATTCGCAGAAGGGGTTTTGAATCGAGGACCAGACATTAGCGTCCACGTCATAACACACTGTTCTACTTCTGAAATGAACCATCCTCTGTACGCCAAAATCTGGACCTGGATTTACAGGGGAATTACACTCTGTGATGAAAATGGAACCACGACCTGACCCAAAACTTATTCTTTCGAACTTCAATCCGGTTGAGAAATGTTATATCTTGCAGGTGGAGAGGGAGATGGACTCAGAGGACACCGGATCAACGTGAAATATTGTCGCTATAGGTGGTGCATACGAGGATATGTAGACCAGTACGCACATTAATCTGGAACCACGAAGAAGCACAGCGGGTTCCATATCATGGTAGAGGTACATATTAGAACCTCGATTTCGCCTGACTGTGATCTTGTTCATAGCTCCATTCTTGATGTTCAACTGCAAAACCTTTATATCTCCAAAGATGGGCTTTGGAAGATACAAAACGTCACCCTTGTAAGCAAATATTCTACCTCTGTAGTACCTTGGCTTGAAGGCGCGTTCAAAGATGTATGACCTCGTTGTATGGTCCTCGGAATCGGATTTGTATACATTGACAGATAATTTCACGGGACGACTCCTTGAGAAGTGACAGATGTTTATTTCATAGTGCTCAGCTCCCACAGGGCATACCATGGGCTGAAGCATTATTTCTTCCAAGTTAGTGAACCGCACAAGGTTTCTCTGGCATGTAACCTGGTTGATGACAGTTGCCAGTGCTCTGAGTTCTCGAAACACCACCCGAAGAAGCAAAGCTCCGCAAGGACTTGAGAACTCATATCTAGGGTTTAATCTTCCCCTAGACCAATCTATCTGCTTCCATATTTTCAAGCGTCTTTCGGCACAATAGTATCCAACCCTGTACCGAGTTGAGCCATCATCGATTCCTCTTCCTGATCTCGACATGACCTTCATACTATAAAGAGGGCAATACGTGGGCCATGTGCAAGATGATACCACTGTTCCATTCTGTGGATAAGAGCCTCACTTTGAAAATTTCAGGGAAAGGAATGCTCCCAAAAATTTTCACCACCAAGTCTTCCTTTGGAAAGTCTTGAGGTTCTCCATCGCTCGGTTTATCAAGAATGTGCAGTCCAGCTTCCAATCGCGAGTTGTAGAATCCTAGATAAGCACCGCAGAAAGAAAAAGGGAAAGATAATTTGGAATTCCTGTAGGATGGAAAGCTTCATCCGTCACCCGCGACCTGGTAACATAGATTAATGTCCATTTAATACAAACAAGTCATGGAAAATTCCATGCATGAAAAATCGAGCGTTGTGACAGACTTTTGTATTTAAATTGGAGTATAATGTAAAAGTCCGTAGATTCCTCAATTTATGAGCCTCTTTTTCTTTGGGAGGAATACCACTGACAGAAGGAAACAGGAAATGTCGTCCGCCTCACCGCATTCACAGATGTGCTACTTCAGAAACGCAAATGCCACACAGTACTTCTTCTCACGTACAATTTCGTCACCAATCTCGACAGATCTCTACGTCTGTAGATCCTTCATCTCAGGTACGAAGATTTCGTCACATATCTCTATAGCGCCAGTAGACCTTCACAGAGTCCAGTTAAACGACCGAGGTGGAAAAATATAAGCTGTCAAGATGCCATCCAAGACCGATAGATAAAGGCACTTCTCTTCCACTCTCCGCGTACTCAGTTATAATTGTTTTTTTAACTTGTTTAATAACTTTATTTTTCTATTATTTTTATTTTTTTCTGAGTATTGGCTGTGCGATGTTCTCCCATCCCTCCGCAACGCTTACATTCCGGGTGAACGTTAGAATCTATCGTACACCCGAAATAAGGAAGTACATTTAATGGTTAGATTTACTTCCTCCGTCCGATATGAGAGGACATTGGACGGTTCAACGAGGCGCTCTAGAGCTTCCTCCCTTCGAGTCCATTGACAGGCGTCTGTCTTTCCAAGCAAGTCAAATGATTCGTTACTAACTTCGCCGCATGGAGCCCTTCCTGATCTTCTTTAACGCATTGGCTGACAGTCATCTGCTTTCATAGAATTGACTGATTTTATATGAAGTTCAAACAGGAAATAGGTAGCTGGATCAACAAGTGGGACGCGAATGAAATATCTTATATGGTTAGTATTTCTAGTTTGAAATATGGCTTCGTGAATTTCACATCTGAGGAAACTTGTTGGGGATCATTCATTCTATCAATCGTGAACTGTTCTAATTTAAGATTAGACTTATATTTATTCAAGAGAACCGGCATAATTTTACTGCGTTGAGATCACATACAGGTTCAATATGATTAGATTGAACCAACAACCAAAGTTTCTCCAGTCCCTCATACAAAGGTGACCACAATTTGAGATCCGGATGTTATGGAAGCGATAAAAAGTAATAAAAGGAGATTAACAACAGCAAATATAACAAATAAAAGGAAAGAAAGTTTTGCTGGTTCAGGTACGACGTAGAGCGCTCAAAACCCTGACATCAATCTGGCGACAGGCCAGAGTAACCCGGTGCGCCTCTCTCACACGGAGGACATCAAGCTTCAGCCCTTGGTGATCCCTTTGGAAGCAGAGCAGAACGAAATAACTATCGCTCAATTTTCGAAGATGTTCTCCAAAGCACTGTCCGTCAGTGCGTACAAATCTACCTTCAAGGGTGTGATCAAGAAGTCATAAATCTTCGACGCTGCATTCATGCAATGCAAGGCTAGAAGCATTGCATCCAAAGGATGTGCTCTCTAATCTACCAAAGCCCGAGACTGGTGGTATTAGAGATTGTGCAGTTGAACATGGAAGATGTAGCTATTGAACGAAATCAGACTCAATACGATACTGTACAATACAAGAATATTATATTCTTGTATCATATGTTTTATTCTTTATACTTGTCTGAATTCGAGACATTATTTTCAAAATATAATAATTTAAAAGTAACGTATAATTTTAGGTTAAAATGAATTATCTTCATGCAACAAGCAATATTCTGGAAACAAAAATCTCTAAAAACTAAGAGATGAAAAACCTTTTTGTATCTTATGAAAAAAAAATCTTTGCAAGATTAAACACGATATTCTTTTTATGTTGTTAAATTTTATTTAATTTTTTATTTTTTTAATTTATTCGACAAAATATTGATATTAAGGTTTTTTTATGATAACATAACATACATTCTCATGAGAATTCTTTATGTCTTATTGCAATGTATCATGTTGAGATGGAAAATTACTTGAATAATTTCAGGATTAGTCCGGGCTTCATTCCACTATACAGATTAGTTTTAATTATTACTACACTTGACACTTGAGCTGAATTTAAGAAAACTCAGCCACAATCAAGGTCAAAAAATTAAAATATTCAAGTAGCAAACATTAAGTTAAACATATTTCTTCCAAATTTAAGAAGTTACATAATCGTCGTTTTCCCATTGTGAAAGAGAAGGAAAGAATCAAACAATAAGCAAGAACCTATTTAATTAAACTCAAATTGCAAGGATACCTAACCCCTCTACTACTATCTTCATTTAGATATAATTTGCAAACGAGATCCCTCACTTCCTTTCAATCATTCATTCGTCGCCGAGACTGTCGATGCCTCAAGTATCAGCAATAGTACTATTGTCACAAGTATTCCGAAGATTACATCTATTCCCGTGAGATTTTCTGTGGTAACTCACTTTTTGTTCTTTTCGAAATTAAAACATTTTAGATAAGTAAGTACCGCGGTAGCAGTTGTAAATAATAATCAGTACGCGAAAACAGAGTAAAAAGGTAATCTCGCGATCAAGGGGAATCCAGGGCAGTCTAAGGGTTTTGGGCTTAGTCCACAGTCGGGCGCCTGGGACGGAACGGGCGGTTCATGCTGCAGGACCCGCTTCAAGCACCTTCGGCGGTAGATCCTTCATAACTTTCTCAATTCGTAACGCCTTGACTTCTTTAGGGTCTTGATGGAAAGAAGTCAACACGCTCGTTCTGACGAGCCTAAGAAATTTTGGAACGGATAAGGGATAATTGAGTTATGAGTGTCAAAAGTGCCCTCGGCGGTAGAGTGCCTTCGGTGGAAGAGTGACTTTGGTGGTAGAGTGCCTTCGGCAGAAGAGTGAATCCCTCATAACTTTCTCAATTCGTAATGCCTTGACTTAGTTAGGGTCTTGTTGAAAAAAAATCAATACACTCCTTGTAACGAGCCCAAAAACTCTCAAAACGGATAAAGTGACACTGAGTTATGAGTCTCGAAAGTGATTGATATGGAGTGCCTTTGGCGGAAGAAGATTTCCGACTGCGCAAGTCGGCGTTGTCATGAAAGTCGAATGTACAAGTGTGGAAAGCAGAATGTTGAGGCGTGAAGTCGCACGTGAGAAGCAGGCCGCTAGCTAGAATCGCGGGAACGGCATTCAAGCTGCCTGTGGGTCCCCCGGACCTCGGATTTTGGAGAAAGAATTTTGGCCTTGGATCAGAGATCTTGCGGGGGCCCATATCTTCGCGCAGGAGTGTTGGTTGGAGCTGAAATTTGATGGGGCCGTTAGTCTCAGCCGGCCTCGCATGCCTATGAATTTTTATCCTCAGATCTTGGATCTAAAGCTGTTAAAGACGCTGGCGGCTCTGTAAAGTAGGTTTAGACTCAGATTAAGTGTTAAGAGTTTAGACTCAAATAATGTTTCGGATTAGGGTTAGGGTTAGATTTAGGTCATAAGTTAGAGTGGCTGACTCCTCAGGTGTTGGATCTGTTCGCGGCTCGCACCGTAGCCGATGAAGTAGAGTGTTAGTTAGTTAGGCTTTTAGATTGTATAAAGAAGTCTGAAGCGTTGGCCTTGGGGTATTTTCTAGTTTTGGAAGTGCAGTTCAGGACCTCATTTTCTCCGCGCGTTTGTGTACTTAGTTCTGTCACTGCGCAAGAGGAGCTATAGCTTGACAAAG